GACTTGGTCAACAAAGAATGGCCCCGTTTATAATCAAAAAAGATAAAACCAACTAATTTTGGTTTTTTTCTGTGTGCTTTCTTTTAAATCTATAGAGATTAATCAAAATTTTATCTTCAGTGATTAAGAGAAAAGGAAAATATGGATAAAATGCATGCCAGACAATAATTTGATAGGGCTATCTTGGCTTGCTTCTGGTAGTTATCAGTTACAGTTATGGTTACATAACACCATTTCATTTCACAGAAAAGTATGCACAATATTACTCAAATGAATTATGAAAATAAAATCACTGGTCAACAGAGTGTGTCTTTTGGTGTTCACAAAATGAAGTGGCTTTTCATGACAAACCAAAAACTCTAGCACTTCCGAGAAAGCAGTCACAAAGTGAAATTTGTAAAAAGCTGTTCTCTCAGTAACATTCTTGAGAGATCAGTGCAGAGGATGGTTGTGGTAGGTATTCTGTACCTTGCATTCCATGCTTCATTGAATCTTATTTCTTAATCTTACACTCTCTTCCAAATAAATTTAAGAAAAAAAAAAAAAAAAGGGGATTTCAGTTAGTGACTGTAATTCATCTTGGGAAGCTGACTGTCTTGTGGATGCCCAGCAAGGCAATGGAGCTGAACTATCCTATGGGTTGCACATTTTGGCCATGGGCAATATGCCCATTCAAACTTCCAGGTGCACAGATTCTCAAGAGTAGGTTGGCTGGTGGCACTTCAGTTTTCAAAAATGAGTAACATTTTATAATATGTAGATTGGATTCAGTAAGGGAAAATGAATCAACGGATTTACGTTCATCAGATGTTAATTATAAAGTAACATTTACACTTATCTCTCTGCTTTCGTGTGTTAAAAATAGTCTTGATTATGAATAATGGTCTCTGCTGTGACACAGCAATCTGTCCTAACTCTGCTTTGCCAAGGAACAAAGTCTGACCCAGATTGCCCATGGCCCAGCAGTCAGTAAAGATTTTCATGTTACAATGTAAACTGTAGAAAATTCCTTACAGCTATTTGATAACAGATGAGAGCAGACAGGGTGGTTTTAACAGTGTTTTCCCTAATGTTCCTGCTTCTCCCAGCAGTAGATAACTGTTTGCTGACTTCCAATGGCAGCATAGTGCTCTCGCCTCTTAGCTTCAGCCTAGGGGTGAGCTGAAGGACCAGTCTTTAGTGAAGAAATATGGAATCTAACTGACTAAATCTGAAGTCAGGAGAGCAATTTTGAAGTGAATCATCAGTGCAGCCCAATTGACCAGGCTTTGGTTTACACTGCAGAGCAAACTGAGAGAACACAAATGGGTTTAGTTGTGAGGTAAAGAAAACCAGAAGATACCCTTTAGTTGCACTTCTACTGAGCTCAGGAGCTAATGGTTGTTCGCATCGTGGAACTAACCTAGTCTAAAGAAAAAAACCTCAAAATGTTTACAGCATGTAGCATGGAGTCCTTTGGATTGCATCCCTCCACAGATTTCATTCTGCTGTGCATCCCTGCTTGTCATGCAGATGCAGCAGGGGATCCGGCAGTAAAGAACCCACAAAAATTTTTAAAAAGTATCAAAATGTTCACTAACACAGGGATTGGTTTCATAATTTATAAACACAGCCGTTAGAAATAATTTCAGAAGTTTCAAAAGGTAGTGTTATTTGCTTCAAACTGATATTAAGATGCATTTGGAACTCACTCAGGAAAAAAAAAATCATGAATTTTTGTGTTTCAGTCAAATCTGAGATTCTTCTCTGAAGCTGTCAAAGATTTTAAGGGCATTAGGTACTATTTCCAAGTCTTTATGCAATTATGAATACAAGGAATTCACTTTAAAAAAAAATTGTAAGATTGCTAATACTGAAATCTCGTATGTTTTTATCAAAAATCTGTGTTCTGAGTTCATGCCAGACTTTAATGCATCTAAATATTTAAATGGTGCTGCCTATAACTGAGAAGATTCTATTACAATCTTTTGTCAACACTTTCTTTCCTAGCAATTTCCCTATCAAAGCTTTTGTATTATTATGATTACTATCATTTACTTGCCTTTATTTAACTTGCACATTTAATGCAATGATATGTACCCTACATGACTGCACAAGAAGCTGTATTGTTAGTAAGCCAGTTGAAACACCTTTGGAAAATAAACTTTGTTGCAATCCCTGAGTCTCTTTATGAGGTTTTAAAAGCTCCACTATATAACAGAACATTTGGGTACCTATTTCAGTTAACACAAGAAGACCTGTGTATGTGTATGTCTGCATAAATGTTGTACTGTCATCTTTTGTTTTTAAATGTAAAATGTTCCCTTTAGAGAGAATGTGTTTCTGTGGCTACAACACTTAACTCCATAGGGTTTGGGAAATCAGTTGTCCCCCTGTTCAGTCATGAGCTCCCTGTGTGACACTGGCCAGCCACTCCAATCGGACCATCATCTAGAGGAGCCTGCATAGTTGTCACTGGGCCAACCATACTACTTTTTCTTTAATGCATGGCATTTTAAGGAAAGAACAGCTGAGTAGTACATGCCTCCTACCACATATGTTGATCTTTGTCTGGTCATGGGGGAGAAATCTTCACAACACTGATGTTGGACACCTGAGGTGTGCAGGTCTTCCATTCCTTTGAGACCCTCAGACTTTAATTTTCCAATAGACAAAGCTACCCAACAACACTGCAGGAGTACAACATGCTCTCCCAATGGCTGCCTAGGTAGAATAGGTCTTCTCCTCCTATGCTGGCCCATGTCACCCACGTGTTGCTTGGTTTCTAGAGTTGCAGCAGCCTCCAGAAATTGCTGTGAACATTCAAGGTATGTTTTAACTGTGGTTGAAGGACTTTGTAGGGCAAATAGAGACTAAATCAATACCCTGAAAAACAAAATGTAATACCTGTAAAGCATGGAAAGTCATCCTAATTCTGACCGTGTTCAGAATGGAATAGGACAATCATTTCAGCAGTGTGCTTTCAGTGCAGCTATTGTATTAAAAGAAATGAGAGTTGTGCACATTCTTATCTTTCTCCAGCCATGTTTTGCAGATGACAAGCTAGCAGAACAAACACCCTTTTCTGATGGTTTTTAATGCTGCTAGAAAACAAGACATATTCAATGTCAAGCAAGGAGAAAAAATAATAACGGGGACCCAAAAGGCAGGATTCTTTGGACATCTCTTTGCATGCCTCTTCCTACAAAGATATTTCGAGCTATATGTTGTGTCAGTGATTCATTGGGTCTTTTACAACAATGTTAACCTTTCAGCTCATATTATCAATGGCTCCGTCTTTAACAGACAACCTCCTATGTTTTGACTAGCCCCTCGTGCAGGATCTCTCCACAACCTCCATGATGAAGTTTTGGTGGTGTGGGCAGCTGGCTGGTCAAGCCCTCCTCCAAGGATAGTCTGTACAGCCACACCTTTGTGCTTAGAATTACACATGTGGTCACACACTTTATTGGATGAGGGCTTAAATGAATATAACATTATGTTTGACTATCAATAGACATCAGTTTAATGTCATTTGACTCTTCAGGGGATATCTGAGTTATTCCTTGCAAGTTGGCACTTAGGTTTCAAAAGAAAAACTTGTCAAGTCCAAACGTCCTTAGCAATTTTAGTTCAGAGAAAGCAAAATCTTCCATACAACCTTGATCTGAGATGCTGGCTTTCACCAGTGGTTTCTGTAAAGCCGTATGTCCTTTGGGTGGGTTATTTAGTGTACAAAGATTCGTTAACTTAATTAATCACGCACTTGTGGTTAGAAATCCATTCTAAAACTGATGTATCATTCAAATACCACCATTCTGAGCATCACCTAAGGGCTCTCAAGACCTCATCAACCACAGGGGTCTTTCTGATAGGAAAAAAACCAATTTAAAAGACAGAAGAGCAGCCATGAGAAATACTAAATGACAATTTTATCTGCACCCACTATTTCAAGATCACAGGGCTTTCTAATTTTCCTACTGTAATATCAAGGATTAATTTGATCTAATCTGTTAAATGCAATACTTTCAGACCCAGTTACATTGTAAGTTTTGTTTTTCATATGCTGGCTGCAAATATATGTCTGACTCTGTAGATATGATTTTAATAGCAGCAGTGATCTGTGTGTGCCAGGGTCAATTTTGAAGCAGCCCCACCAACATACGTACCTTGCACTGTGTGTGCAGCAGCTACTGTATTGCCACAGGACTCGGGAGGCCTGGCTCTCGTCTGGGTTCTAATTTCCAGGTAATAAGCTGAGATGTTAGCAATTAGGACAGGCAAATGCAGACTATTATGGAACGACTAAGGATTGGTACCACCATTTCTCAGTCCATTACTGGGCTCTATAGGCACTGCAGGCTAACACTGAAGGTAATTTGCAAGCGTGTTTATTGCATCAGCTGATATTCAGTAGGCCTGAGTATGGAAGCAAAGTAACCATACAAGAACTGAACAGGGAAATGCTTCTTTGTTTCAAGTACTTTCTCATATTAAGGACATTATGCTAAGGATTTTATAAATGGATCTTCATTTCTGGCTTTATTTTTAATTATCTGGATGACATTTTCATTTGTCGCAGATAATGAGTTTAGCATCTGCCTATGGCAACACATGGGCAACGTTTCAGAGCCGTTCCCAATTGCATTTGGAGACGTCATAGAAATTTGTAAGAGCTTCATTTATTTCCACCTGCCAGGAGATAGTGGGGTCATGGCACTCTTCCAATGCTAAATACATTTCCTGGTAGCTAGATTCACTTTCTATAACCAAAAGAGGACTGCATGCATTTGAGCCAAGGCTGAGGTCATGCATGACAACAGAAGCAGTTTATTCAGTACTGAACATCTCATATTTGATGCGGTAAAGACTCCATGTTCAGAAGAAACAAAGTAAATATTCTGGATAAATCTGCCAGGTGGGTTGTGAGGCAGATTTGCTGGTCTGTGGTCAGTCATCGCAGTTAGAGATTCACGAAGAAGATGAAGAAGGGGAGTTTGCTAACAAGGTCTCTTGTTTCAGCTTACAAGGAAAAGATGAAGGAGCTGTCCATGCTCTCTCTGATCTGCTCCTGTTTTTATCCTGAACCTCGCAACATGAACATCTATAAATATGACGGTGAGTAACTTTCACCTGCAGGTCAGATAATGTGCTAACTCAGTTCACCATCCTGGTACCTAATGTTAGACAAACAATATTTTGCTTATTTAACCACTTATTTTGCTGATTTGGGCTATTGCCTCTTATTGATTGTGTATTATTACTCATGATGCTTGATATTTTTCCTAATAGCAACTGACTAAACTCCTAAAGCCATATCTTTCATACGGAGCTGTATTTTTCCTAGTACTTTGAGAAGTGCTTCCCATGTGAGAATTACATGTCTTCACAGCTGACATCATAGTTCCCAAAGAAACCCAGAAAAGATGAAAGCATGCTTAAAATTTAATCAGCTTGGGCAGCATTCACTGGGAGTGTGAAATGACAAAGAACTCCAGTAAGCTTCCAAAACCACTGTAAATTTTTATCTTTATAGGATTCATGTATAAATAAACTATTGCAGGTGAAATGGGATGTACTTCTCCCAGGGACAATTTTCAGCCTATAATCTGCCCACAGCAAAGATGCTAAATCATTTGTCTGTATTTCTGATCCTACACTAATTTTTGTACTGCTTCTCTCCTTAACACCACCACAGTATTGAAGTGCTTACCGCTTCTCACTTTATTGTGCAGACATGGAAGTTAAACAGATCAACAAACGTGCCTCGGGCCAGGCCTTTGAACTGATCCTAAAGCCACCATCCCCAGTCTCGGAAGCACCACGAACTTTAGCCTCTCCAAAGAAGAAAGAGCTCTCCCTTGAGGAGATCCAGAAAAAGCTGGAGGCTGCCGAAGAGAGGAGAAAGGTATTTTTCCTTAAGAAAATATTAGTAATTATACCCGGCAGTGTGCAGGATAACATCCAATTTTCCTATCTATTTGTATGTCTCTCATCTCCATCACTGACTCACAGTGTGCCAGCATGAACAAAAGCTACTAACATGTTTAAATCAACAGATTAGATTATTTTCTTTCAGCAACTTGCAAACAAACCTGGCTAGTTCGGATGTTTAGGAAGCATGTGTCATAAAATACAGGTAGTTCTGAACACAAAGTCCCAGTGGGCTCAAATGTATGTGCTTTCTCTCTGTGTGTAAGGATGCATTCAGAGTACCTATGATAGTTGCTGAAAGCTGGCTCAGTCTTGATTTAAGAGACAGATATGCAATTTGAACAGCTACTGCCTGGGCTATCAAATATTGATTCCATGTAGGCCCCATGGAAATTAGTCACAAGGCCTATCTGTGTCAACTAAACTTTTTATTTATGCAGTATGGAGACGTGCCAGCCCTGAATAAAGAGTGTTCTGGATTGCTCACCAGACTACTTGATTGAAGACGCTGCCGTAGCACTGCTACTAAGAGAGGCATTTCTAGCAGACAGTCTGAGTAGTGCTGTAAATAGGCCTTGTGGAGTTATCTACTGAGTCTTTTCTCCCTTATGATCTTACACATAACAGACAATTCCTTTTTTATAGTCATTAAGCTTGTCACAAAGAGCTTAGAAAGGCTGGTAGACCGTCTACATAGCAATTAGCACAGAAGCAGTTTGCCTGCAGCAGAAAGTCCCCTGAATTTACAGAATCTTTTGTAGATGTGGACAACAATGTATACAGAAATTCAGGGACAACAGATATGCCAGAGATAGAACATGGGGTATCTCCAGCAGCAAAAGGGCTCTCTGCTCTCCTTTGGCTTCTATCAGACCAGATCAGGGTTCCTGTCAAGAGATCTGGAGCCATTATAGCTCTATGTGATTAGAAGTGAATCCTCTGAAGTCAATAAATCTGGATTGATGACATTTATTTTAAAAGTGTCCCTTACTTTTTATTTGTGGTGAAACTCTGGATCTCATTAACTGGAACAATTAAATCATCCAGATGTTGCACATTAGTGCTATAGCTTCAGTCTTTGTTTCTGTCAAGGCATTCTCTTCAGTAGAAGGACATGTCTGCATGCGAAAGAGATAATCATATGCACTAGCACCTGCCCAGAAGAATGAGCTGTGGCACATCCATGTGATGGCAAGCTTCAAAGACAGTCTGTGAAGTACCTCTGTACCGAGTACATATACTCAAGTAAAGATACAAACACGGAATGAAATGGCAGCAGTTAAGAAGCCCAATATTATGCATATACTTAGTGGGAAATAGAAATTGAATGTTCCAGAGATTTCATTTCATTGATTTCATTACTGTTCATTTCTTCCTAAAGGAAAACTCATTATTGCATTCATTTTGAATGAACATATAGCTAAATGAGTTAATTTAATAGACAAGATCTTCCACGTTAGCAATGCAGCAGAAATTGCAAGCAAAGGAACCAAGAACAGAGCAGAAAACCTCATTACATCACTGTTAAAATCCTTGGTGCTCCTACATCCCAAGCATTGCCTGCATTTTTAGTCTAAAAAAAAGCATATAATGCAGAGAAGAGTGAAAAATGCAATCACAGGAATAAAACATCTTCCATAAGAAGATAAATTAAACAGTCTATTTCTCAGCTTGGAGAGAGACAACAGATGGAAGATAAAACAGAAGTCTTAAAGTCATGAATGGTAATGAGAAGATAAATAGGAACAATTATATTCTGTTTCACACATCCGAAGGGGAAGAAACATTCAACAAAATCAGACAACAATTTAAAACAGAGAGAGGAAATTACCTTTGCATATATCATTTAATCAAGTTTTTGAATTTGTTACTATAAGCTATTTAGATGTTATTTAAATATTAATTATTTCAAAAAGACAATAGCAACATTGGTAAAGAAGTACCTTGTAGAAATAATTATATGGATACAAAATCTGCCTCAGAAAACAGGTAACCTGGTGGAAGCTAGGAAAATGCATAGGAAAGAATCAGGCAGAATCGCCCAACTTCATATACACTTTCCCAAAGCATCTTCTGCTTTCTGCTGCTGGACAAGTCAGGCAGATGTTTTCTGAGATCCAGAATGGCAGTTGTTATCATGCTTTTTTATCTATGTACATCAGCTATTAGGCATAACCATTCTAGGTCATGTCCTTCCAGCACAGTTCTCATTAAAATCAAGTATAATTAATGGACAAGAATTGCCTTTAAATAAAAAAATACTCTCTGGTTTTACACTCTTTTTAGGAATTAGGCCCTGCTCTGCTAATTAGGCAGTGCTCATTAATGAATTTTTTAACTGGTGATATCATCTGCAGCAATACATGCATTCCTTTGCTCTGTAAACCCATGAAGGGGGAACATCCTCCTGTTCTCCTTGTCCCTTTAGACAGTCACTGCTTTGGGAGAGGAACTCTCTCTCCCTGTGTGTTGGCACACTGTCTGGGACAGTGTCCTAACAACAATCAGAAGTGGTTCTAATAATTAAAAATACACCCCAGTGAAGAATATGCCATAAGTGAGATCTAACTTACAGACTGGCTTGGATTGAAAGGGACTTAAAGGATCATCTAGCTCCTATCAATTTGTGCCCATTTCCTTGCTTTTATGCAGGAAAGCAACTTCATTTCTGTTATTGAAAACATCACATAATTAATTCCTTCTAATTAAGAACTAGGAATTTATATGTTGGCATTTGCATTGCAGTAGGAGCTTTAATCCTACCCTGTAGTATATCTTAAATACACAATAACTGAATAACACCAAAGTTATTGAAGCTTCTACTGAATAATTTAATTTAAAATAAATCCAGCAAGTGAACAAATATGTTAGGAAAGTGAAATTCTCTTGACTGATAAAATAATAGAATCATAGGGCTGAAAAAGACCTCCAAAATCCTCTAGTCCAGCTGTCCAACTACCCCCAGTATTCCCCTGCTAAATCATGTCCTTCAGTACAAAATCTAAACATTTCTTGAACACCTCCAGGAGGATGGTGACTCCACATCCTCCCTGGGCAGTTCGTTGCAGTGCCTGGACACTCTTTCAAGGAAGAAATTTTTCCTAATATCCAACCTGAACCTCCCCTGGTGCAAATCAAGGCCATTAGCTCTCATCCTATTGCTGTTATAAGAGGCCGACCCCCACCTCACCACAACCTCCTTTCAAGCAGTTTCAGAGGTCATAAGGTCTTCCATGAGCCTTCTCTTCTCCAGAAAGCATGTCTCCATGGTGCGTCTCCTACATCCTAGTAGCTAAGAGAGTCAGGAAATTGCACTCAAGCTGAAATTCCTAGTTTAAAAGCATTTGTGCAAGCCTATGTCTTGTTTAAAGTATAATCCTTTATCTCTGCATAAATGACTTAAATATTGGCAAGTGTGCATCAAAGAAAAATAGATCAATGTGAGAAAATAAGAGCATAGAATCATAGAATGGCCTGGGTTGAAAAGGACCACAATGATCATCTAGTTTCAATTCCCCTGCTATGTGCAAGGCTGCCAACCACCAGACCAGGCTGTCCAACTCAGATAAGTGGAATTTTCTTACTGTAATAATAATAGTAATAATAATAATAACATATTTCAAAATACAATTTCCATAAATAATTTTGCTTTTAGAATGCTTAGTTGTCTGCATCTATCTCTGGCCAGCTGAGATGTGGATTTCCTTGTGAAGGACTCTGAAAACTGGGATTGCATATGGTCCTCTAGAAAGTGACATGAATGTCTTAAGGAGTTTGCCTGCAATCTTTTCAGCACAGTAGTACATTTCTGGGAGCAAAAGTATCTATACCAGGAATGTCTAACAACATTTTTCACTCAGAGGGTGGTGACACACTGGAACAGGTTGCCCAAGAAGGCTGTGGATGCCCCATCCCTGGATGCATTCAAGGCCAGGCTGGATGTGGCTCTGAGCAGCCTGGTCTGGTGGCTGGCCACCCTGCACATAGCAAGGGGGTTGAAATTAGATGATTGTTATGGTCCTTTTAAAACCAGGCCATTCTATGATTCTATGATTTTTATTCCTCTACATCTAGCATTAGAGGCTGCAGCTGTAGCTGTTTTGATTAAACCTTTTCATATTTAATTCTTCTGAATATTCACCCAGAGTATTCTTTTTTCCTTTCTCCACCATTTTACACTTAATCTTCTTTATCTTCCATCCCATTTCCAAATTTGTATACACATTTTCTCATAATAGCTCTGCTAGAAGCATTTATTGTAAACCATTTACAAGTGCTTTAGAAAATGGAATATGAGAATACCTTTTCCAGCACTTCAATACAATGTTGAAAAATAAATATGGAATTAAAACTTCCTACATGTGTTAGATCCCACGTCAAAATTGTCCAAATGCATCAGTTAAAAGCCAACACCAACAACAAAGAGAGTCCATTAGTTCCAGGCACACTAGATATCAAGAGTCATTCATTTTAGCAATTTCTGGATGTCTAGCAGGCTTTGAGCAGACTGGGTGGCCAAGATCCTTAGCCAAATGTATCTGAAACACAAAATCATATGACAATCCAGTACAAAAATGCATTGACTGGGTTCCAAAATTGTCATAAGGGTATTTCAACAGTGATCTGAACGCAGGGGAAACAGACAGGCTCACAGCTGGTGTAAGAGGCATTAGAAAAGGGACATCAATGTAAATGAGACTCTCCTCCTTGTGTGCTTTGTGATGAGGAGGGGACCCTTTATTCTGAACAACTTCCAAGTACCCTGAACATTTTGTGTGAGGAAAAGGGATGTCTTGTAAGGTACATCGTAAAGAACATTAGAAATGTGCAGTTAGTTCCTGAAGCATGGCATAGCTTTCATTTAGACTCTTTCTGATGCCAATGTAATTTACATTCAGAAAATACTGCATTAATTTGCAAGTAAGTATTTTCTTCATTATCTTGCATTAGTGACCAAATTAATTTTGAAAGTGTTGCCTGCCAGCACGGCCTCTAGAACTGTGTGTACTTTGCTATGGAGCTCTAATTTTTCACTTTTCTCATGGATTTATGATAATAGAAAGTAGTTCCAGAAGGCAAAAGGTTTCAGTGGAAGAAAACAAATCCTGACAAACAAGCATGCACCCCAAAGACCTAAAGGCGTTTAGATATCTCCCACTGAAAGCCAGTGTTCTTTCAAAAAATGCTGCTTAGAAGCACAGTCCCTTACTTTTTATTATGGAATGCATCCTTAGACATATCTGTTGTCCAAATCTCCACGTTCTTGTTCATATATATAATGGGACTTTCTGTTCTCATTTGCAACATGTTTTTGCTGGCACATCAATCATTTTGTCTGACTCAATTGCTCTATTGCTATCTGTTCAACATGTGCTGTAGTGGTAAAAGCAGTGAGGATCACTGCAAGGTACCAAACAGCTCAGTGCAGCACTCCCATCAGCTAGCTCCAGAAGTCACAGCTGAGCAGTGAGTCCAGAACTACAACCAGGCTGGAGGTGAAAGAAAATCCAGTGAGTGGCCAAGAGTGACAAAAGTAGCTTTATCTCTGATTTCAAGCAAGCTGTTCCAGCCTTTGAAAGCCAGATAGGTTTTAATCCAGTCCTGCTGCAAGATGTTCTGCCTGGCTTCTGCAGCCTTTTCTAGAATCTGCTTAATTTGCCTTTTCAGTATATTTGGCTGTACGTGTATCCTACCTTTGTTAATATATTTGTTTTCTTCTTCTAGCTGGATCTTCCACATATAAGAAAACTGCAGCTTTTTCACTCCATTAAAAGCCTCACGATATAATTTAATAGCATTAATTACTGCTAATTGTAATTACTGGTTAAAACCCTTAATTTAGGTCTTAAGCTAATCATTTTTATGGATAAAAATGGCAGCAGTGTATTGTTATCTGCACTGAAATATACACTTAGCTTCTCAGAGCCATATTTCTTCCCTGTTTTCTGTTTGCCTCTCATGCTCCCTCTAATTTATTTTTTCCAAGAGCATACAGTGCTGTTTATAACTTCCAAATAACCCCTCTGAAACACACAGTCTCTTCTGCTAGACTTGCCTGAGGATGGGCCCAGAGCTGCAAATTCTCTGGGTTCTCTCCTAGGATTAGTGGTTCTGTGTTAGTAACTTGATTTAAAATAAATAACAAGCCTTGTGCTTCTGAGAAATAAGTTTACAAAGGATAGTATACTAGAATATGTTTAATTCCTTCCTTCAGTTTTCATCTTTCTTGAATAATGTAAGTGAAAATACAATCCTTACATATTTTCTGTATAACAAAACACCCTTTTTCTTTCATATTTAATGAGGAGAAGCTGAACATAAATACTGGGAGAAAAAAACATTGTCTATATTGATTCTGTTTATCTTTCACAATGGTAAACTTCAAAGCCTGTTGCTAACCATTCACACATACTAAAGGACTGCCCAACCTGGGCAAAAAATACAGCTCCTTTTTAACATCATTCCCTTCAGCTCCCAGTGCTGTATCTCTACAAATAAAATATTCACACCTAAAGGACCACAGCTCTCAGAGGTTAAGCAACCACTGCAATCAATAACCATGGACAGCATTTCTCATTAACAGAAGTGATTTGAACACTGCTCTGCTGCTCCCTAGGGCATATTCCCTACATTTAGCCAGCGCCTCTCAGCCCATTATTGAAACTAACCTGGTTTCTACACAGAAGTGATTTTACCCAGCAATGCTTTTAAAAACAAATGAACAAACATTACAGAGTTTCCAAATTCGGTGAAGAGCCCCGTGGAGGTTGTTTCACTCCACGTGGGTTTTCAAGACTCTTCTCTCAACCACATGTCTCTCTGTTTCCAGTCCCAGGAGGCCCAGGTGCTGAAACATCTGGCAGAGAAGAGGGAACATGAGCGAGAGGTGCTTCAGAAAGCTCTGGAGGAGAACAATAACTTCAGCAAAATGGCAGAGGAAAAGCTGATACTGAAAATGGAACAGATCAAAGAAAACCGTGAAGCTAATCTAGCTGCTCTTATTGAACGTCTCCAAGAAAAGGTAACTGCACCATCACTCCTCACTCTGGACTAGAGAAGAGCATCTAATCAGTATTTCAAAGAGATGCTGTGCGTAGCTCTTTTCTCAGTTGCAAAACTTAAGTTAGTTTTAAACCAGAGTCCCTCACGCCTATCTAAGCCACTTTTGGGAAATCACAGGTTGGCAGGGACCACTGGGTCCATCTGGCCCAGCCCCCGCTCCAGCAGTAACAACCAACACAGGGGGCCCAGATCACATCCATGTTGTTAATGGAGGTCTCCAAGAAAGAGACTCCACAACTTCTGGACAACCTGCATCAGTTCTCCATCACCTGCACAGCACAAAAGTGCTTCCCGGTGTTCAGAGGGAACCTCCTGTATTCCAATTTGTGTACACTGCTTCTTGTCTTACAACCCTTTACATCCTCCCTTCAGATATTTACATCCACTGATAAGATTTCCCTGAAGAGGAACTTCAGTGGTCAAATTAAACATTTATCCTGTGTATGTATAGTTCTTGACTTCTAAAGGGGAAAGAATGAAAAAATCAGGAAAAATTCTTTCCTATACATTAATAGGTGCCTATTCTTCCAATAAGTCTTGTAACTAATACAGTGTAAGCTTTCCTTTGAAGATCTTTGGTACAGCCATAGGAATTCCTTTTGAGAATCCAGTAAATTACAAAATACACAGTTGAGAACCAAATGTACCCTTCTCCAAATCACCCCTCCTAAACAAGAAAGGAAGACATGAGAATTAATGTTTAGAAGAGTTAAGAAAAAGATAATTTACATTTATTTCTCTCACCAATGAACTTTCTAATATTTCTGCAAATAAATGATTAATAGAAGAAAAAAATAGCTCCCAGTCACTTCCAGTGAGATCTCTCTAAATGCCTCTTTCTTTGATGGAAACAAGAGTGTCACGCAGCAAAAAAGAAACCATTGTTTCCCAAAGTTTTAAGTGAATATGCAAACTTAATAACTGTGGAGTTTAAGAACTGTATTCATATTACTTATTTTCTCAGTAAATGAGTTTACAGGCACGTATCCCAAAGCTGATGAAAACAAAGGGAAAAGCCAATTAGCCATCCTTGAGATCCAAAAGGAAATGGGACAGACAGCTGGAGCATCTCAACTCTATGCTCATATTTACAGGCTGTTAATCTCCTCTTCCTCTGCAATATCATGGCAAATGTTCATGAAATCCAAAGGTTTTTTAACAAAGACTATGATAACTCACTTGAGAATATTTGTACAGACCAAAAATTAAATGCTATATGGCTATATAGTTTTTGCCAGCACAACAGCCAACTCTTACTTATGCAGGAAAAGATGATGTGAGATATCTTCAGGAGTGACCAGAACTGTGGATGCCTCATGGTGTCTAGGAGCTCCTATAAGATCATAGATAACTTTTGCATTCTGCAATTAACTGCAGCCCTGAGGAACAGGTCCCTTAGAAAATCTGGCACTTAAAATTATGAATCTTATAAGAAACTGTGATTTACAGACTCAGATGATACAGTAAGCTGTGTTGGCCTATGATCTATAGCTTAACTCAGCCAATAAATAAAAAGATTCTTGTTGAATTCATTGAATTTTTTACTAATCCCCATAGAATATCCCCTAATGTATGAAAATATCTACGAAGTGCCTTAAACAGAAATCAGCTAGAGATGAGTTGCTTCTCTAGTCACCTTGTGACTTATCATTTAGTTTTCTAACCTTTTTTTTTCACTGATCAGATAGAAATGGTAAAAGTCTGATGGTTTGACAGCTGAAAAACGAGAGGCACAAATCAAAAACCCTAAAATCTTGAAGCTGCCAAAAATTATACAGTTTTATAAACACCTTGAATGAAACATTTCCTAAATTCATTTGACAGCTGTTGTTCCTGACCACAGACCAATTTTCACAGAAGTATCTAAATATACAGTGGCTCAAATAAGTCTAAACTAATCATGACTGGTTTAGTAAAAGAGAAGACAACATGTATATAACTAGAGAGAAGGGTGCAGCATTGACTTCTGGTATCTCCTCCCCAGCTTCATCATAGCAGGAGAAAGACAGAGAGGATAGCTAACTTCATCGTTCAGTCTAAGGAGGTTGGAATGGAATGGAATGGAATGGAATGGAATGGAATGGAATGGAATTAGATGGATAGGATAGGATAGGATAGGATAGGATAGGATAGGATAGGATAGGATAGGATAGGATAGCTCAGCTATGTTATCAACAGGAACCTCCCTTGGCATGCAGGATGAGAACAAGGTTTGATTTTTCCTTTCTTGATGTTTTCCAGGAGAGGCATGCTGCAGAGGTCCGTAGAAACAAGGAGCTCCAGGTGGAACTGTCTGGCTGAGAACAGCAATGGTGGATGTGACCCATCCCCACCATTAGTAAACTCCCCCTGCCTATATTATTATGGATCATGCGATATCAGTATGGGAAATGTATGACATGGTTTAAAAAAAAAAAAAAAAAAAAATCAAGAACTCAATAAAAACTTTAAAAAAGAAACAAAAAATAAAACAAAACCAATGCGGTCTCTTTGCAGAATGATTTGCTTGATGTTTAAAAAACTTGGATCTTATTTTGTAAATACTTACATTTTTGTTAAAAAATACAAGTATTGCATTATGCAAGTTATTTCATAATCTTACATGTCCTGTAACAGGCTTCTGATGTTGTCTATTTCCACTCGATTGAATTTGCTGGATCTGTCCATTTGAAGCACCTCATGTCTAACTCCATTCCCTGCGACTTTCATTCCAACTCACCACGAGGTCAGTAGTAGTTCTATGGTGCTAGAGACCAGTCATTGCCTAACAACCTAGACTGCTTTGCCATCAATGAGCTTTGTTGAAACAGTGACTAGATCACAGGTGTCGTGACTTCACATTCAGCTGTCCAAGACAAGAGACTCTTAAAATGTAGTTTCTTCAAATGCAACTCGCGCTACAGGACTCTGTAGCATGCTGTATAACAGAAGTTAAATCACCATGTGCACTACTCGGTGCTTCTGCTTTCTGAAGCAAGAGGCAACAAATAACAGCTTTGCAACTGGATGAAAGCAAGTGGTATCAGTTTGAAATGAATTTAAAAGGCACATTGTAACCATCAAGCTATGACAAATTCTAAATGATGCCAAACAGCCATACAAGTGCTAATTGTAAAGTGAGCTTAATCTACCACTTGAAAATTTATTAACGAAGCAACTAATAGATAGCATCAAGTGGCTTTATTTGTAGGTGCCATGATCTATGATACTTCTCTGATGCTACTGTAGTACATGTGTAACAGTAAAAGAGGCAATCAAATATTTCACTGGGAACCCGTGAACCAGATGTTACCTTTTTTTTTTTTTTTCCACACTGCTGACTTCCATTTGTCATGACCTTTATTCTTCAGTGTTAGCCAACCCTAGTGACCGACAGCTAGGACTGAATGATCTTGGAGGTCTTTTCCAACCTTGGTGATTCTATGATTCTATGACTAAGAGGGCTGAAGCAGGAATGACTAGACAGGGTGCTTGTGCCAAGTACAGTATCATGAAACCTAACACATCGTCCCCAAAATAGCTGCAGTTTTGAAGTTGTCCCTGCCCCCCACCCAGAGGTTGCTGCCTGCATATTCTACTCTTCATTAGTGCTATTTTCCTGTATGTCATTGTGAGCAAGCTGTGATTAATAAAGAATTGGGGTTCTGTGAACTGAAAAAGGGCTTGTCTCTTCTCTCGCTCCATTACTTCTGGCATGTGCCTGTATGAGGTGAAAGCCTAACAAAGTCATAAAAGCATGGAAATGAGATTTCAATAAGACCTATTAATAAATCGAGTCTATTTCTCTGCTAATGCAGGTCTAGCTCCTGCTATGTGTTTTCCAGTGCTTAGGATGGTTATTTTTAAAGATTACTATATAAACTGAACCTATGCACATGACTCTAGCATTAAGTTATTACAGAAGAAATTGGTACATGTATGTGCACCCCTTAGCCTGATTCGGTACTGAAAAAAAAGGAATTTCAAGAAAGAGAAGTTAATGAAGTTGTCCTGAGCACATACATCCATAACTGCATTAAGATTCTGGGTACTAACACACTGATTCTCAGGGTGAAAGGAGTTAATGTATAGGATTTACTGAAAAACATAAAATAGATCTGCTGAGCTGCAGAGCTGAGATATATAGCTGGATCTGGCTCCATTTACAGCATTTAGAGAGTTAATCAAAAATTACCTTCAGGATTAGTTTTCTGATTTAAAGTCATGCAAGTGCTCTTTTGGAGTCATTGCTCTTTTGGAGAGATGGGCCAGAAGCTCCAGATCTGAACAGTTGGTTTCTGACCCATGCTGCCTGTATTATTTTGGAGCCAAGTTATGTCCCTGGAAGACTTGGCCTTTGGTCAAAAAGCTGTAGGAACTCATCCACACACAATGCTGCAAGGTCAGCCCTGTGCGCAAAGAACTCCATATCTCAGAGTGGGAGCAGCAGTCCAACTTGTTAGAGCAAGTTGGTTTTGCAGCCTAAATTACTTGTCTTTCAGGCAAAATTACTAGGAGGAAGCCTGGCAGAGAAGTCAAACAGTAAACTTTGAAACTGGATGTCAAGCTTCAGCATTGCCAAGTCTTCAATACTTGTGTTTTGCTTTAAGCCCTAGTGAAAAGGAATCTCAGTCAAGCTTATATTTGCCTTTAAGGTTCAGGATTTTGATTTGAGGTCTCTTGGAAACTGGTTTAATTTCCTAACAGCAAGTTACATACTGAATTCTTCCTGCCCTCTGACTCAACAAGACCCAGTTGTGTTCCAGACCCTATTTTGCTTGCTCTGCATAGCTAGCAGGACAACAAGCCAAGGACAAACCTGTGGTGCAGGGCCCAAGCAGGGCAGTCTACCTTGTTTCCATGGTACAAATCTCTTTTCCCCCACAAAGGTGTCCATGTTCAGGAGGGTCCTTAGCAAATGCCACCCCCAGAACCAGACCTGCTTTGGTCCTGATGGGTTTGCTGTAGGATACATGCACACACACACACAGCATGAAGCACCTATCTTATCCAACAGTTTTCAAATCCCATCACGTCGAACACTATGTTCTCACCATGTTTTGGGTAGAGGAAAAGAGGACTGCATGGGAAGAGGCAGGACCTGCTCCCACATTGCAGCACGTGCCCTGTTCTGAGCTGTTCATACAGCAGGGGGCTGTTGTCATCGAGCGGAAGAATTTGAGAGGCTTTCCTGCTCTCGGGGCTGGTGCTGCAGCGACAGTGGTGCAACAGTGCCGTGCAGTGGTCAGTTTTAAGAACAGGGATAACCTGAGTACTCGGGATTGCACGGATCTCTCTCTGAAGGATATTCAGCTCATCTGCCTCACAGTTCACACTAGGTCTTAAAACAAGGTTTTCTTAGTTTCAGCTGGGATGCAGTTGTTTTCTTCCGAGTGTCTGATATGCTTGCTTTTCTCCTAGAACCAAAGCACAGCATCATAACAGATGGCTCTGAAGAAAACAATTCTATCCCACATTAAGCTAAGATGAAGGTAAATAAATGGTGGCTCTGAAATCTGAAGGCTGATCCCAGACCTTTCCAGATTTAATGGTGTAATGTGTGGCACAACCATGGGTGGCACAAACATGTAAAGCCAAAAAGGGCTTGGCATTTTGGTGTGGAGTGAGGAGTAGCCTGCATACAGTCATTACAACTGTGGCATTACAGTGGCACAACAACAGTACCACTAGAAACTTGTGACTGTCAGAATATTTACATTTTTGCGACTTCAAACATCTAGGAAGAAATGGGTGACATTCAACAGCCATCCCAGATGAGAGTCATAGGAGATGATACAAAGCAACCTCAGAAATACAGGGAAGAAGAAGTAAAGCCAGCACCAAAAGCCTACATGAATCAGAGGTGGAGTAACCCGTGGAACAGTTCTGACATTTGAAATGCAGATTTCAACTTCCAGCAGAAGCAAGAGACTTGTCATCCTTAGAGCTGTCACCATTCAGAAATACTGAACTCTTTTTCTCCCTCTACAAATACTGAGAACCAGGACTGAAGATGGAGAAGCCTAAAATCCAGCCTACAGCAACTCAAGGTTCTGTGAGCTGTAGAAACAAGAGTCTGCTGTGTACTTCCCATGGATAAGGAAGATATCTGATGTACAAGAAGATGCCTATGCCTTGGGTATTCAGTAGTATCTGAGCTTTAAAACTTCCGCTGGGAAAAATAATGGTAAATTAATCCTTCAATTGTCCACAATAAACGAAGGCAGGCATATGTTCGATAGTTTACTTGGGCAAACTTTCACTTCATCAAGCCAACAGCGTGATGCCAGCTTACCTTTCCATCCAGTACATGGATGTTGAAAATGTCTTCCTACTGTGACACGTTGGCTTTGGTCAAATGGGTCCCAGGAAAGGAAGCTCCTGAGCAGCTCCTGAAGATGGAGTATGGGAAAAACATTATCCCAGATACAACCCACGTAAGCCTGGTGTAAGGAAACAGCTGAAGAAGAAAACAATTTCAATTTTTTTTATCTGTTCTGGTTGAAACAGATTTTTAAACAAAATTTAGAATGTGACTGTGCCATAACAAAATATGTTCTGAAAAAAAAAATAACTTATCAAATATCCAGTTTGTCAAATAGTCTTTTATATGAAAATTTCCATAAAATCCACAAGCTCATGAAAATCCTCCTGTACAACTATTTGTGACCAAAAGAGGGCAAACTCCGATTATTTAACATGTAACAATGTGTGGTGATTTTTGCTCTGAGATACTTTTCCAGCTGTGTGTTATATCCTGCAGCCCTGCTTTAGAGCATCATAAAGACTGATGCAATATTATTTGTACTGAAATCTGGATTTGAGTATATATGTTTCGAACGAAATGGAATAGAACAGAATAGAACAGAACAGAACGGAACGGAACGGAATGGAACGGAATGGAATGGAATGGAATAGAGTGACATATATAAAATAAAGGTGCTATATACAGTATAAACATCTTTTAAGTGTAATATCAACTTCTTTATAGCTGAATTTGGAGAGGCCTGGTAAAGGATGACAGAGAGGTGACCAGATTCATCATGTATTGTGTTTTACATATCACCCTTTGCAACTGATGAAAAAGCAGTGGATTACAGTGGCATATAAACAGCTTTCAGTCAACAGTGATCCAATTACCTGAATACCTACCCACTGTAGGTATTACCTTGGGAGCAGTGCCAGATAAATGCAAGTCTTCTGCCTCCAGGGATAGGTTTGGGAGCAGCATAGTTGCTTGCTCATAAAACAGCCTGCTCATGAATTAAATGTTTCTGCTAGGCTTCAGATGTCCTTAAAAGGAGCCAGCTCAAGTCTTTGTGCTGTGCTCCTAGGACCTGTTATCAGTGCTGGAGGGAGCTTGACTCAGCCCAGGACAGTGTGTCAACTCAAGTCCATGCACCC